GGCCCGCGCCCTCCTCCCCGCTTACTTTCTGGGAGTCCATGGCCAGGGGCTAAGTCCGCTGGGCCCGAAGCCGCGTCGAAGAACCGTGTGCGGAGGCGGAGAGAAGCCGGACACTCCGAGACCGCTAGCCGCGGTCGCCTCAGCTCGGTCTGCACCCGCGCCTCCGGCCCCGCCCGGTCCGCGCCCAGCCAGCGCGCGCGCCGTCGTCGCGCCACGGTTGCCAGGGTGAAAGGACGGCCCGCAGCAGGGAGGGAGCGAGGAGTGCCTCGCGCATGCGCGCTGCCGCCGAACGGGATGCGGCGCGGGTGTGGGGTTCCCAGAGGCTGTAGCAGGGGGTAAGGAGTGCGCGCCCCTTGGCTCCGCAAGTCCTTGGAAAGGAGCCTCTCCTTTCTCCCCCCAGCCTCCTTCCTCCAGCGCGCGCGATCGCTGCAGGCCTTGGAATGGACCACTGGGCATCCAGCGGCCGGGCCCATGGGGAGGGCACAGGAAGGAAAGCTCTGGCCCTGGGGATAGATCAGCCTCCTCTCCGTCCGTCCTGCACTCATCTGAAGCCACATTGGCGATGGAGGAGCAGCCAGGTTACCCGAGGCCCAGCTGTCCAGTGAGAAAGAAAGAGGATGTAATATGGCAAAGTCCTGGAGGAATGTGGGCAGAAATGTGGGTAGACCTTTCCCAGAGAGTTCCCCTGAGCACCTTGCTATTTGTGATTTTGAGCAAGCCACTCTTCCTGAGCCTTTTTCATCTTAGATAAAATAAGAGAAATAATGCCGACGTCGCAGACCAGTGTAAGGATTAAATAACGTATTTGAAGGGCCCAGTACATAGTTAATACTTAGTACATTGTAGTTTTGGTAGGGAGCTAGAACCTGCTCAGTCTGGAATGAGGGGACTGCAGACTGTAGAAACCTTGGGAAGGTAGGCTTGAAAATGTTTTTAAGTAGACAGTTCTCATCCTCCATTTCGATGACTCTGGAGAGACTCGGAAAAGTTCAACTGGACAATCACTTAATATGAATGAAGATAAGGAAACTATATATTGAGTACCTATTAGATCCTGTTCTATAAATTGAGAATTCAGCAGTGACAAGGCCCAGCTCTCTTGCAGAGCTTACAATATAGTATGGAAGGCTGACCGAAAAATTAATTAATTAAATACACACACACACACACACACACACGCACACACACACAGGAGCGATAAAGAAAAAATTGCATGGTGAATGGACTCAGAATTGTCAGGGTTCATTCTCCATAGGAAGGTCAGGGAAGGCCTCTCTCAGAAGTGACCTGAGTGAAGATAGAGAATAAGCATACAAAGATCTGAGGAAGGACATTCTAGACAGAAGGAAGGACAAATACAAAGGCCCTAAGAGGGCATGAGCTTTATGTTTAAGAAACAGCATTTACCCTACAAGGCTGTAATTACCTCTATACATGGGTCTCCCTGACTACACTGTGATTTCCTTGAGGGCCTGCCGTCTAGTATGCACTCAACAAATCCTTTTTTAACTAGACAGACACGAGAGATGGGGCGAAAATCACAAAAGGGAAACCAGAAACTTGGCTCAGGCTGGGTGGGTAGTGCTTGAAGGCCAGGGTCCAGGGAAGGTGTATGAGCACAATTTTGCTCCCGTAGCTGAAACTGGTAATGGCATGCAGTCCTGCAGATAGATGCTCCCTTTCTTGGTACCAAGGGAAAGGGGCCTCCTATCTAAGCTGTCCCAATTCCCTGAGCAGTAACAGCAGCCAGGCACCCAGCCACTAGCCCACTGCTGCAGCCATGAAGGCCATTCTCTGCCCTGCGCACACACTGTAGCTGAGTCAGTTTCCCATGAGGGAGAAATGAGCCTAGGAATTGGAGAACATCAGAGGTCAAACCAATTGACTGTGAGCTCCCCAGTTTTGGCCCTGCCTGCCACTGTGGGACCCACGACCAAGGAGAAGAAACAGCATTTAGTGCTGTCTTCAGTTCTCCTGCTGCAAGGACATCATCTCACTATCGTCAGAGGGCAACTCCTGGGCACTTTATGACTGATGGGCATAACCACAGGAAGCGGCAGAAAGAGGCTTAGAAGACAGTGAGTCGCAGCTGAAATATGATCACCAGATTCTGTCACAGGCCACAATCCCAGGAGCTCACTCCTGGCTGCTTGCCTCCTCCCTCCCCTGTTCTTTCCCGGCAGACCAGCCAGGAGCCTGCAGCTTTTGAGAGAGGTCTACCCCATTTGACTTCTGCCCTCTGCAGATCTCTGTCTCTGTGGCCAGTCTGGCTCCCCTGTCCAGCTCAGTGGGGCCTTCTGCTCCCTCGCGTTCCCACCCAAGAACAGCTAGTCTCTTCTGGCTGTGACCTCTCTCCCCCAGCCCGTACAGGCTCTCCTGCCACAGTCACTCACCTAGCTGGAGTGACTCACTATGTCTGTACCCCCAACCCACTCCTGTTGCTTCTGGCTTATGGGCAAGTCCTTTGCCTTTTCTGTACTTACCTTTTCACAGCCAAGTCAGTTTAGAAATTTTCAAAACTAGCTTTTCTAATAAAGTAAAGCTGGTGTTCTCAAATATAATCCCAAGACCAACTGCATCAGCAGCACCTGGTAACTTGTTAGAAGTGCACATTCTCAGACTTCATCCCCAGATCTACTAAATCAGAAACTCTGGGAATGGGGTCTAGTAATGTGTTTTAATAAGTCTCCAGGTTATTCTAACACATACTAAAGCTTAAGAACCATTGAACTAGGAGAAAGCACACTTTACATTTTTCGAAAAGGAATAAAAGGAATTAGGGAAGAATAAAAACAGATGACATTTCACCTCTTAGGTTTTTGATTCTGGAATAAGTTAGGATAACCTCAAGGTTGGCACTGTTGATATAAAGTATCTGGCAAAATTGTCTCTTCCAGAACAAGGTTCCCTGTCCTCTTACCAAGCATTGCCTGCAGCCCTGAGTTCCCTCGTGAATTCTGGGATCCCCCATTTCTGGGGAGAGAAATTCCTTCCCTTAAGTGTTGCCAGCAGTCTTCCCCTCTGGGAGTTGGTATAGGGCCATGGGCCTGGAGTCAATGTCTGAATTTAAACCCTGACACTGCTGCTTATCAGCTGTGTAGCCTTCAGTGAGTATTTACCCTCGATAAGCCTCAATTTCCTCATGTATAACATAGCGATCATAATAGTAATTCCCAGTTAGGGTTGTTGTGAGGATTAGAGGAGATTACATATGCAAAACGCCTGGTTTAGGAAGCATTTAACAAATGATGGCTGTTACTATCATTATTTCCCTATATATCATATCCTTCTGTGCCACCGTTGTATGGCTTTCTCCCTCTCAGTCTTTAGGGCCATAGAATCCTTATTCTCACCCCTAACTTCCCCTTTCACTGTTATACTTGGCTTTTTTGAAGCACAATCACTGCCCGGATGCTGCTCTCTGTTGAAGCCCCAAATCTTCTCCTGTTGTTCCCTGTTAGTATCTGGCCTGAGTCTTAGCATGCACCACCTACCCCCAGGAAAAACCTGAGCTTCTCTAAGCATCAGTTTCTTCAGCTATGTAATAGGCATCATAACAGTACCACCTACAAGGAGTGCTGAGTAGATTAAATGAGATAATTCATGTTAAATGTTTAGCACAGTATCTGGCATGTAATAAGCATTCAAAAACTATTAGCTGTTATCATCTCTTCCCAACCACAGAAACCTAGCTAATTCTTTTTTTTTTTTCCTGCCCCCTTCTGACTAAAAATAAACTCACCCCAAAGCCCTGGAATCTTTTAGAACTCAGAGTAGTAATTTACGATCTTAGGAACTCGTTATAGACATTTAAGTTCTCAAAGCAAGGAAAAGATGGTTCTGCTCTGCGGTGAGTTGGCGCACTATGGGGTGATCTATCTCCACACTTGGAGAGTTCTCAGCAAAATGGAAAGCAGTCAGTGCACACAAACCTGACAGAGGGCCTGGAAACCGTGTGAGAAGAGACACAATTAAAGCACCTGTGAAGATTTAGCCTGGAGAGGGAAAGTCTCAGGGAGGACATTATCATTTACTTCACATCTCTCTAGGGCTCTGGTGTGGAAGAGGGAGCTGACTTGTTTGCTAGCTTCCCACAAGTAGATTTAGACCTAATTGATGGAAGCTACAGGAAAATAGATTTCTCTTCAACAAAAGTCCAACATTCTAACAGAGCCATACAGAACTGGAATGGGCTTTGTTTGGTAGTGAGGTCCCCATCAATGGTGGTATCCAAGCAGAGGCTGGCATTTGCTTAGCAGAGCTGCCCTAGGGGAATCAGGTACTGGGTAGCTGGCAACGATAATTTTTAACACCTTTCTGAACACCAAAGTTCTATCATTCTTCAAACCAGAGGCCAATAACTATTCATTCTCTTTCTGACTCAGCTTTGCAATTGTACTCACCTCTGGAATGTGCTCTCAATCTCTTCCCCACAACCTCACTCTCTCTTACATGATCCATTGCAAGAGACCCACTCCTTCCTGGGAGAGGGCATGAGAGGGGCAGTTAACTAAACTGTAGCCATTGTGATGTTACCATGTCATGATACTTTCTCCATGTGTGATGACCTGTTTATGCTGGGCAATGGGGACACTGAGATGAGTGAGGTCTGGAAGACACAAGTGTTTCCATCACATCCTGCCTTGGCTCTGGAAATGCCTCTTGAGAATGACCAAGGACAAAGCAAATCTATCTGCCCGTGGATCTCATTGTGAAAGGATGATGGCCTCTAGCCAGGCCTCTCCAACACAGGAACAGGCTCTCTCTGCCTAGTAACAACATTACTCAGCATCGCCGCTCCCTCTGCATATACTCTGAAAATGGTTTGGGCCGGATTGAGACTGGCTGATTGAGACTAGGGAGTTAAAGGGCCATAGTGAATTGACTGCACTGCTATTTCGTTGGCTGAGCACCCAATCTCTGATTGCAGACCAAATTCAAATACCAAGTCTATCACTTACCAGTTATGTTGCCTTAACCTCTCTGTACCTCAATTTTCTTATTTGTACAATGAAAGTATTAACAGTACCCACTTGAAAGGGTTGTAGGGAGTTAAAGGGCCATAGTGAATTGACTGCACTCCTATTTCATTGGCTAAGCACCCAATCTCTGTACCTCAATTTTCTTATTTGTACCATGAAAGTATTAACAGTACCCACTTGAAAGGGTTCTCATGAAGATAAATGAGAATGTATGTAAAGTGCTTAGAATAAT